TTGGTTGAGGATCGAGGTGTCGGCCAATTAAGAATGCGGTCAATTTTGCTCTTGTCAGGTTCGATGCCCCGTTGTGAGATGCGATGGCCTAGGAAGTTGATCTCCTGGCAGAAGAGCTTGGTCTTTTTCTCGTTGCAATAGAGGGAATGTTTCTTGAGTGCGTCGAAAATGAGGCGGACGTGCTGGATGTGTTCCTCTATAGTTTGGGACCAAATGACAATGTCATCCAAGTAAACATGGCAGATCTTGCCAATGTGTTCCCTTAGCGTGGCTGTTACACGATGCTGTTGGATAGCAGGTGCGTTGCGTAGGCCTTGCGGCATGACGGTCCACTCGTAAAGGCCAAGCGGTGTGCTCACGGCGGTATACGGGATGGAGTCGGGATGGAGCCGGGTTTGAAAGAAACTATCGGTGAAATCTATTGTTGACCAGATTTTTCCTTTGGCGCAATCCGCGAGGATGTCGTCGACACGGGGCAATGGGAAAACATTGTGGACTGTGTTTGAATTTATATCGCGGAAATCATTTACCCAGCGAGGAAGCACTATTTTGTCGGCTTTGGGGATGAGGAAGGCTGGCGAAGCAAAGGGGGAGTTTGACAGGCGAATGCGACCTGCATCCAGATGTTTCTGTATCAAGGTCTGCCAGGCGTCCTTGTATTTTCGGGGACTCTGGTAGCTCCGTTTAGAGAGTGTCTTGTAGGCGTCTTTAATTTTAATTTCACAGAGGACATCCGTAGGTAGATCGTCGACATGAGGTATCGGTTCAAAGATAGGTTGGTACTCGGCTTTGATCGAAATACCCAGCTTCTCGCGGTGTTCGAGTTCAGCTAGAGCTTCAATCCGTTCGTGGACTGCGGCGACAACGTCGACGTCTCGAACCGATTCAAATAGGTTTGAGTCTGTAAGCTTTTGGAGGCGTTCGGCACACACAGCCCGCAGTTTGTCAGCGAGCAGTTTGTGGTCAGCTTTCGTCTTGTTTAGACGTTCTCGAAGTTTGGGGCGTGGCGGCGGAGGCGGGGATGCAATAACGGGATCAAGAAGATTATAATTGGACTTTTTATCTATTACATTTCGGTCGCCATGATCGACGACAATGGAGTTATGTGTAAGGAAAGGTAAGCCCAAAATGACGGGGGCGCAAAGGTTGGGCGCGATCAGCGCGCGTACAGTTTTCGTTTCGTAGGAGAGGTCATTTGAGAGGGCTTTGAAATGTATGTATTCATACAGCATGGCCGTCGAAGGTGCGTTGTTCGTTTCAAGTGCGACAGAGATTGGGACTGGTTTATGTAGGCGGGAGCGGCGTAGAGCAAGACGTTGGACGAGGTCCTTGCGGATCAATACTAAATGGGCGCCGTTGTCAATCAGCCCGCGTACGTCAATGGGGAGGTTGGACATGGGGCCTTCCATACGGAAGTCCCAGTACAGGTGTGGTTCACTCACCCCAGAGGCTGCTGAGTCGACACTGTCATCAGAGTCGTCGACATCGTCGAGTTCGACTGGAGCGATGACAGCGATCGGGGCGGGCTTGGGCTTGACGCCGTACTTGACGCGAAGGTCGGGTGTGAGAGTAGCGGTGGCAGCATCAATGGTGGCCTGTGTGACGGGCTTGTAGTTGGTCGGGGCCGGCCACGGGCACGTCTTATCCTGTGCGTCGCCGTGACCGACAAAGGGCAGGCGGCAACGGGTGCACCCGTAGTTGGCAGCGAGTAGCCCGCGTTCGTCCTCGGTGAGCTTCGGGCAGCGTTTGCCGCCGTCGGCGTTCGAGGTGGAGGAGGAGGAGGCGCCCGATGTAGAAGGGGGGGCGTTCTCGTTCGTCTTCGAGCGCTTGGGAGGGCGCTCGTCGACGGGGGCCGTGGTGCGGCGGTCGCGCTTTGCACACTCATCCGCGATCTCGTTGAGGCGGTTGAGGTTGCGGATGCGGGTGTTGTCCTTGCGCTTGAAAATGTCCGCCCACTTCTTGTAGTTGGTCTCGTCGGCAGCCTTTCCCTCATCATTGAGGTCGTCGGCGAGGTCGGTGAGCATGTTCGATTCAAGAAGGGTGCGAACGTGCGCAGTGTCGAGGTGGGAGGGGGTGTTGATGAGGAGGGAGTTGAAGCGCTCGACGGCAGTGATGAAGGTGAGGAAGGTCTCGTTCTTGGCCTGTTTACGGCTCATCATCTCCTGCTTGACTGAGCGCTCCCAGTCCGTGGGGAGCAAGCGTTCGCGGACCTCGACCATGAAGGCCTTGAATGTGAGGAGGATGGCTGCAGCACGCTCGGTGTCGTTCTCCAGCCAGGTGGTGATGCGGTAGTCACGGAAGCAGCCGATGAGATTGGCGACCTGCTTGTCGGCCGCGATGTCCTTCAGGGAGAAGTAGTTCTGGCAATGCACTTCGAGCTGGCGTAATTGGCTCTGCATGGTCTCGCCTTCGTGGAGCAAGGGGAGCTTGGTCACGGGAAGGTCGAGGGACGCGTTGCCGGAGGTGGACATGGCGTGCACACGGGTGGGGGGTTCGGGTGATGAATCGGAGTCGGAAACGTGTGCGGAGGCGCGGGGAGGCGTTGTGGGTCGGGTGACGGGGAGCGGGGTCAATGGAGAAGTCGGGGCCGACGAGCGCGGATGGCTTGACTCGTCCGTGCCATCGATGTTGGCAGCGGCGACCTTAGACTGTCCACGGGTGACGAGCGAGTGTGGAACGGAAGGTTGTCGAGTCGCCAGTTTGGTGACGTGGCACAAATGGATGACGTGGCCCGTTCCCGGCGGGATGCTGTGGTGGGTTCCGTTAGAAACGGCTTCCAAGGGCATGAAAAGGGTGGGAGGGATGTGGCGTTGTATCCAGGAGGAGGCGTAGGTACGCGTGTCCTCAAGGAGATGTGGGTGTGGGTGGTGCGCGGGGCTGGTAGCGCTGAGCGAGCTCAGGCCGCCTCGGCAGAGAGTGTGGGGTGGGGTGGTAGCACGTTCAGCTTTGAGCAGAGCTCGGCTGTCGCGGGCGAGGGTTGGGGGGTAGAAAAAAAAGGCAGAAGATTCAAAAAAAATGGAATCCTGCTCACCAGGATACCAGAGAAGGTTGACGAAGAGGGAACCAGAGAATCACGCAAGAGAATCTAGACCCTTTGTAGGGAGTCGGCGTTATAAGGCATAGCTAGCATACAGGCAGAGAGTCGTAATACAGAATGGAAGAAGGAGGAGAGAGAGAGAGAGCGTGTATGTGTTTGTATGTATTGTGTAAGTGATCAGCATGATTACAAGAATCTTACAATCAATGCAAGATGTGTGATATCAGTGAGCAGAGACAGAAAGTCTTCGACTCCACTACGTGAATTCACTGGTTCCCATGGCGTTTCCAGATTATCAAGCACCAAAAGGCATGGTGGACCTCTAGAAAGAAATTTGATAACTGGCTTTGTGAGGTCCTTTCCTGGCTTCAATCCCAAATGAACTCCGATGAGAGCAACTAGCTCAATCCTGGTGGTAGTAGCATCTGCAGAAATGAAGAACCTATTTTCATATTTGGTGGTGATGTGAGGGTGGTGCAAGACAGATTTCGCGAGGCTTGTTTTGCCTATCCCGCCTGGCCCTAGAATGGCGATGGCAGCGGGTCCATCATGAAGCTTATCTACAATGTCCTGGAGTTCCACTTCACGTCCGTGGAATATCTTTTGTGTTGGTGGCAGCATTGATAATGAATTTGAGCTTGAAAAAAATGCTGAGTGAGAAAATAGCCAGTCAAATTTGGGGTACCTGTTTTGTGAGCCAACAGAACTGTGGTATATCTGTTTTTCACTGGTTGACTTGCATAAAAAAAACATAAACTACATTCACATACAGAGGAGGATGTATCTGAAGTTGTCCCATCAGAAGAACTTGTAATGAGCTCTAGCAGTTCCTGGTGCATATTTTCTATCTTTTCCTTGAGGCTTGTCAGATTTGTTACGAGTTTGGCACCTCTATCAACCTATATGATATTGCAATATTCCATCCATTGTATATTTCTGGATCACCACCTTGAACACTTCTGAGGCTTGTTGCAATCCAGCATGACATCCTTTAAGAAGTGTGTTCATCTCAGCTTGCTGGAAGAAGTGCTTGATCCGGTTTCCATCTTGCTGTGCCTCTGCAAATGTATGTATCTTATAGAGTGTTCTGTGCGAAGGAAAATTAGAAAGGGTTGCTTCAGACTCAATAACACAAACTACTCGGTAAATTTTCCCATATGATCCAATGCTTCTGGCGCCAGGCTTCCCACTGGGTCAGATTCCATGTGCAGGGTCACAACAGCACAAATGAGCTCGTATCTCCTTGTCAACAGGGTGTATCACCGACCTGCCTGAATTGGCTCTGCTCCCGGAACCCTACATGCTATGTTAGAAGTTAGTAATGTGTCCTTTTGGGGAAGTTTTTTGACGACCGATTAATGGCTAACACCTGCCTTCATATCTTGTCTCACAAGATTGACTAAGAGCAGCCCTCCATTATTTTTATAGACAGCCGACCACGCCACCCATTTTGGTGCACTAATTTTTGTTTCGGATGGGCCACTAACTTCGTTGCATCAGCCAAGAACAGAGGCCAATTTGAGACCGATGCTATGTGCTAAATCACAGATAATTGGCAGGCTTCATGTTCATCGCAATGATGTGGCCAATTATACTTAGATATGCGGATTGAAATAGACGTTTCTTACCATAATTGTACCTGGCGGCTACCTGCTATCCTCGCATTTTTGCTCTAAGCATGCCGAGGAGTCTAAGTTCGACATTGTACATCGGAGTATTCCCCAGGTACGAATGCATACCGTATTACCATACGTGCACTCCCCGGTTAATTACTCAGACAAGGTGTACGGAACACCACCTCTTCTTATGAGTGTTTGGCATCATGCATAAAATCTGAGGTTCATCGGGTTCGACTCCCTGTGTCTGATTGGTGCCTCGGCGCTTTAGTAGGTTTTTTTCTCTTGACGCGCTTCCAAAATCGCTAGTATCCGGATATACATAGGCGCACATAGCTAGAAATTACTCGGACATGGTGTACGGCGCACGGCCTCACTTCTTATCTCAGCTACAGCGCTGTGAGAGGTAGACCGGGGTTCGACTCCCCGTGTCCGAAATACTTTGATGGTTGAGCATTTTTGGGCTCACCGAATGCCGGATACTTGACGTCAGCTCCAGCCCTTCGTACCGACATAGCGACCTTGACATGGAATAGACGCAGGCAGGTGGCTGGGGAATTTACCAGTCGGTCAACTATTCCGCCAGGAAGTTTTCCGGAACTGGTTCCCGCTTCCAAGGAGCACTTCGACACGACTCATGAGAGATACTCGTGGAAATCGGTTCCTTGAGGGCCTGGGACAGTACTACTTACGATACGAGAGATTACGCGCGAGCTTGCGTCCGCAGGCGCGACAAAAACTCCGAGCCCCGGGGATTAACCACACGTCCAAAACGACGACCGCAATGTAGCGCCAACCGAATAGCATGAAAACGAGCCCGCAGGACAAGTAACACGGGTGCAAGGAAGAACTGGGCCACGATGATCAGCACTGGACTGCGCGGGTCCGGAGTAGATCCGACCTGAAAATTAATTCCGAGCACCAGATGATTCGGCAGGAACTGCGACCAATAGCAGCAAACACGCGATAGGGACGAATTTTGGCGACCCTGAGGTCGGTACATGTGGTCGAAACATAGCACAACCTCAACTGCGCAGGGCAAGCCCGAGGAAAATCACGAGCCTACGAATGAAAAAAAAAGGGCTGAACCAGCATGGTGAACAGCATGCGGAACTGCGCTTGTGCATCTCGCATATTTTGAAAGCGCAAGTCGCACTTGCGAAACTTGCAAACGCAAAACGCGGGCCCCGAAAGATGGCGGGGATGTGGGACGTCAAAAATACTGGGCAGTCGAGCAAACGAAAGCCTGGAGGAATGACGCAACGCCAGTCCCACACGAGTCGAAGTGGATATACGCGGAAGTGTAGTTCCCCGAATCACGGTTAACACGCAAATGTAGTCCGCTTGTCCCCATTGCGTGCAGTCAGCCTGAATGCACAGCCAGAGTTTCAGAGTCACTGGTAAGAACAAGATGCGCGCGCCCTCGGACCCAACACGCAAGTTAGCCGAGGATAAGAGGCTGATCAGCGTTCCACCGAGGAGGTACCGCACGGCGTTCCATCGGGCAGGAACTACGGCAGCGAGGAGAGGTCCAGCAGGAATGAGGAGGGTCTCGTCCATCGCGAGTGGGACGATAGAAGAATTTGTAAGCCTGTAAAACCAATATATTCCTGAAACTACGGTAAGCCACCAAGAAGAAACTACGTACTCTACACACGAAAGAAAGAAAGAAAATCCCTGTGCATTCTAACGTCGAGGGGACGTTCTGACGATGCACGGCATGCGACCGTTTGCGCATACGGAGTAGCATCGTCACACTAAGAACCATCGCTGGCTAAAATGACGTCTGCGCGGATTTGGGAGAAAGTCAGGGCAGCTCCACTTGTCCGCCTGACAACCTCGTCAGTGAAAGGTAAATCGATTATGAAAGGCCAGACTTACCCAGCATGTTCACAGCTCACCCACGACGGAGAGTTCTGGTGTGGGAGGCCGGTGGTCGTGAGGAGGTCGTGGTACAAATGTCAAATACGGAAGCTGCGCAGCGCATTAATAGCACGGCACCGGACATCGTGGAGAGACCATGGTGCGACGAGTAGAGTGCGAACCGCACATGGAAGAACTACGCGAATACGATGAGCCCAAAGTCAGCGGCGATAAAGTGCACCAGGCACCAAATCCAATCCCTACACGGAAAGCAGCCGGCGCTTGGACGACGAGGTGCGCAGCGCGATACGACCGCTGGACTCGGGAGCCACGAGGTGCGGGTAAGCGGAGAGCCCTGCGATAACGACGACGACTACGAGCATCTCCACTCCCGCCCAGCGTGACCTCAAAGGGGACGGCCATATCGATGAGGGGCGGCGGGCCGAGAAAAGAGTCGCGGCTGATGGCGGGCGCGAGGAGCATCGGGGCGAAGGCGGCGAGCCAGGCGAGGACGAGGACGGAGGCGCAGCCAGCGGTGGGAACGGAGGTGAGGATGGCGTAAGGGAGGAGGTCACGGGTGCGCACTGAGAGGACGAGGACGGCGATGTGGTAGAAGGTGGTCACGGAGGTCGAGGATGCTCATGATGAAGATGAGCACGGAGAAGAGACCCAGGTGAGGAGCGGGGGGGTGTGCGCCCAAATGGGGAATGCCGAGGCCGATCACCGACTTTTATCGATTACGAGTCCTAAAAATTTATTTTTAGACTTGTTTTTATAAGCCATTATACCGCCAAAGTGAGAGGTTTTTATTTCGATGACGTAGTTGATTCGTGGTGAGATCATTACTTTAATAGGTAATTTTTGTGGCCTAGAAAGGAAATCACTTCAAATATGGCTGACTGTGAGCGGTCTGGACTGTGTGATGGGTCTATCATGTCGTGTATCGTTTTACAATGTCCGTTGCCTATTTTATATCTTTCCTCGCCGCTGCATCTGCCTCATTTTTTAAAATAAATTATATCTGAGTTATACCATTTATTTCATAGTCTCGTTCCCGCCGTTACAGAGCAGTCGCTCGCTGCGCTCGCAGGGCAATTAACAGTGCTATTCACTGCGTTTCAACCGGCCCTAACCACAGTTTGGGTAGCTGCGCTTAGCTTTGCTTAGCAGATGGCTAGGTCTGTCTAGTCGGCTAAACAGACACTGTTGATGGTAACTAAGCACAGCTTCGGGTAGCTGCGCTTAGCTTTGCTTAGCGTAAGGTTAGGTCGCCTAAACAGAGTGTGCAGATGTCAGTGTAGGTCTGCTTAGCTGAAGGTAGATGAGTTTAGATGACCTATACTCAGCTAGCCCCAGCCACACATACCTCAACCCCATTCTCCACGGCACTGCCCCTCTCAACAATAATTCTTCGGCACATGTTAACGAATGGGGATGCAAATGTAGGGATTAATCTATTTAACAACCCCACTTGTTGAAAATAACCCGGGTTGCTGGATCAATTTTCTATTTAACAACCCCCGGCTATTTATAACTTTGTCACCGAAATAATGCCAACAACAGGCCTAGTGCCCGTTCACAAAGCAAAAAAATCGTTTAAATATGGTCGCACAATGGTGAATGCGTATCGGATGCACTCCAATGCCCTCTGGATTTTTCTCAGATTTATTCCGGCAATTTTGGTAGACTTTTCGGCAAATCCTTGGCACAAGGAGCATTGAAGGTAGCCTTTGGTGAATTTTGACCGGTGGAACACGGAAAAAAAATAGCAGGTAGCTCGTTCAGATGGCCCATCTATTCAGGTGAATTTTCTGGGGACTTTCAGTGACACTAGGAACACATTACAAGCATCCCGCCTCATCCCGCCACCCCGCCATCAGCCGCCATCAGTTTTTTTCTTACAAATCATGGGGTTGTTAGATAGAAAATTGATCCAACAACCCGGGGTTGTTCTTAACAAGGGGGGTTGTTAAATAGATTAATCCCAAATGTAGGTTATTTTGAGAATATCATACTTAGACTTCATCGGCGTCCTTCTGCCGCCAGGGTTGGCCAAGGGTTGGCGACATGGCACGAGGCCTCGCAGCAACACACAATTTCTCCCACATTCTCTCTCTCACTCTCGCTGCAGCGGAGTTTAGGTAGGAATTATTTGATGCGCTGCTGTCCGAGTCCATTCTTGATCCTTAAGCGAGGTAAGCGAGATAAGCGAAAGATTAGCCGAGTTCCATCTTCGCGAGTCCCATTCTTCTCGTCGCACCTCACAGAATGGGGGTAGGTCAATGTAGGTGTGCCTATGGCGTGTATTGGCCTCTGGTTATAGCCCTAGACTGACCTACACAGAGGTAAGCAGACCTCGGCAGACCTACACAGAGCTAACCACATTTAGCCAGACCTACACAGACGTAACCATGGTCTGTGTAGTCGCCTAACCACAGCCCTCTGCTTAGCTCTGTTTAGGGCTCAGAACTCAGGCTAAGTTTAGGAGGGGTTGAAATGCAGTGATTTGTAATGACATCTTGTTGAAATGATGCAGAGGCATTTTCTTTGATGAGAAATGGTTGCGGAGATAACCTTCCGTGCATCTTTTTCAACCTCTCATCATTATCTCGGCAGGAACGGCACACACCCGGAGCCGAGATTATTTATTTCGTTGAATGCGTTATTTTGTGATCCGCTTATAGCGTTCAACCTCTGCTTGTTTGCGAGATTTGATCTTATACCTTGAATTAGTGAGTGGAATTCCACGGCGCTTAGAGGCAACTAGCACTGCGTTTCAACTGGCCCTAACCTGAGGCTCCGCAGCTGCGCTTAGCTTTGCTTAGCCGACGGCTAGGTTGCTAAACAGACCATCAACAGCCGGCTAAGCAGATCTAGCCGTCGGCTAAACAAAGCTAAGCGCAGCTCTGCAGCTCTGGTTAGAGCCGGTTGAAACACAGTGACTGTTGCTACTGGGTCTTCCCATCCACCAACTGGTTACTGGTGAAAAAAGCAAGGGCACGCATCTTGCTATAGAATTAAACGGCGCAAACCCCAAACGGACCAAGAGCCCGCCGGCGCGACCATGTTACCCAAAACGATACAGCCCCATCAGATACGCAGCATGGCGGATCCAATAGGGCATCAAACCGTCCGTAATACGCCCACGGGCGTGTGAATTACACCGTATTTTTGTTACGCCACGGCCAGACCCGTATGTTTAGACTCATGAAGAAATGTCAAGCGGGACGGGTCCCGTACGTACCATCCGTTTACGCCGTAGTTACAGTCAATTTTTGATAAGTCGCGGTCCAGAACATGGAGGAGATTGAATCCACTGGGGTAGGGATAATTCTAATCAGCAACCCCCGTACTCTGGGTACGGGGGGTTGCTAAATAGAATATTCTAATCAGCAATCCCCACGTGATAAGCTCGGCTAGGATAATTTGTGCTCCGCCATGCCGTGCCGTGCCGCATTCCACTCGCAATTACCAGAAGAGTCAAGGGGTGGCTAAATAAAAACTACTGGACCATGACTATCAAAAACCGCCTGGCCGGGACCCCGAATACCTGACTGACCACCACCACTCGGCA